TCAAATTTAGAGTTCTTAAATATTATACTAGTGTCATCTGCATATAGAATTGGTTTAGATTTATTGTTGATGGTTTTAGATAGATCATTTATGTAGAGAAGAAAAAGTAAGGGACCTAAAATTGATCCTTGTGGAACACCGTGCTTTATAATTCCCCAGTTTGAAAATGCATTATGACTGGAGTTTTTATTATTTATTTCAACTCTTTGATACCTGTATATGTATATATGTATGTATATATAATGTACATATTATATGTAATTGATGCAAATCATTAGAACGTTCATGTTCATACTTCAAGAGAATCAAAATATGAAAAATAAATTAAAGAATGAATTCAAATATAACATCAGCAAGTGTATATTTGGGCTGCGCCATAGCTCAAGCAGTTAGTCGCTGGCTTCCCACTGCGGCAGCCCAGGTTCGATCCTGGGTCTGGTTAAGCGGGATTTGAGGTGGACAAAGTGGGGCTGGGGCAGGTTTTCTCCGAGTACTTCGGTTTCCCCTGCCAATCTTCACCCCACCAAACTCTCCATCATCATAATCACCCGGGGCAGGTACAAGAGGCCAATCAGTGGCCACCGTGCCAAGTGGACCCAGTTAGACTCCGCCCCCACCTACTAAGCAAAAAGTGTATATCTGTCCTTAATTAAGATGATAAATATAAAAGCTCCTGCATGGGATTGAGTCCAGGTATGATATTCTGTAGTATCAGAAGTGTAAAATAACACAAGATACTGTTTTTGAGTTTTAGTACACTTATAACTGTTGGGTTAGATAGATAATTATATGGAGTAAACTTCGGGTCTGCTGGTGCATCAACAGATCCCTTAATTGTCCACTGGAGTACTAACCTTCGATGAATTATGAGTTCTCCTCTATTTGAAAATGTCTCAAGGCAGACCCTGCATGTAAAGCCTTGCTCCATTCTGTGCCGTTTGATGTGTGTGACTAGGTTGCTTTGACGATTAAAACTGTAGTCACAAAGGGGGCATTTGTACTGGCCTAAATGGATACGTGAGTGCTGTACTAACTGTGCCCAGGTATTGTACATTTTCCCACAGGTAGCACACTGAAACCTCTGTTCTTCTGTTTGCTTTGGTTGTTGAGTCTTCTGAGATTTCCTGTGTAACATTAGAACTCCAGTGAGCATTTAAAGCCATTTCATACCTTTCACTTCTTCGCCAGAGACATCGACTTTCTGCTTAATTTTAAGCGGGCATTATACTAGTTTAGAGAGATGAAGTGACAGGAGGTTGGAGAAAACTGCATAATGAGGATCTTCTCCAAGTATAATTAGAATGATCAAGTCAAGGAGGATGAGGTGGGCAGGGCATGTAGCATGAATGGGGGAGAAGAGGAATGTGTGTATAATATTGGTGGGAAAGCCAGAAGGAAAGAGATCACTGGGAAGACCAAGGCTTAGGTGGATGGACAATATTAAAATGGATCTTAGAGAGATAGGATGGGATGGTATAGATTGGACTGATCTGGCTCAGGATAGGGACCAGTGGAAGGCTCTTGTGAATACGGTAATGAACCTTCGGGTTCCATAAAATGCTGGGAAATTCTTGAGTAGCTGCAGAATTGGCAGCTCCTCAAGAAGGGCTCAGCTCCATGAGTAAGTATATACTAGTTTAAGTATGGATACCAGACCACAGTGTGTGCCAATTAAAAGAAGTTAAGGATTAATGGAGACCAGATTTAGGAGCACAGTATCTCTCAAAATACAAACATTCAGTTTAAATTGAACTTACAGCAGCTTCCTCTACAACTTTTACAACAGCTGGGCGAAAACCTGCAGTGCTCGAATAAAAAGCAAGAGACGAATACTTCTGAACCGTGAATTCTAATACATTGACGACGTTGCACAGGGACAGTGAGGAGTATTAGTTCTAATTCAGTTTTTATGCATCTTACATCATCGCCTCATTTCCTAAATGCTTCCAATTTGGGCACTGTTCCACGGGGTAGCCCCTTCATGCTGATAAAACACAGCTTAGTTATCCTGGCTCCTTGCAAAATTTAGTAAATTTGAGACATCCAGGCACAAGGAAGATTTTACATTGTACATTTGTAAGCATGTAACTTTAGGAATCTGATCATGCATTTAGAAGTTCTCTTTATGGCAGACTTCTGGCAATAGGCTGTACTTGTCATTGTAAAATTCCAGTGTACTCTTGGGGGGGGGGGGATATAAGACATGACAGTAATTAAGAATGTGTGAACAATACCTGCTTTGTTCCTTATGAACAGTATTTTGGTGCTCCTCTAGTCCTTGTTCAGAGTCAAACTGATCACCACAGACAGGACAATGAAACTCCTGTAGTCGCTCACAAACATGTTGCCTCCAACCTTGTTTTGTGGTTGCCACATGATTGCACCATTTGCACTGCCACACCTTCCACTTCCAGTACTTGTCTTCTTCATTTTCTGTTTCACCAATCGCAGGACGCTCCAGATTTGAATTAAAATCTTCTGAAAATGCGGTTTTCTTTGCAGGTTTTGTAGAAAATTCAGATGTGTCTTTTCGTTTACCACAGTCTACAGGTTGGTCTTTGGGGATACTGGAACTTTTATCATCTGTAGTCAAATTTGCTTTTTCACTGTGATGGGATTTAACATGTTCTTCAAAATCTTCTTTCAGCTCATAAACTAGAACACAGTCTTCACAGCCAAATACTTCATTGTTATGGACAGAAATTTGGTGCAGGACAAACTCCTTTTTACCCATTATATTTTCATCACAGTAAATGCACTCATACTTTACTTTATCCCAGTCTGCATTTTGTTTATCTTTTCCCTTGTCAGTTTGCTCCTTGGCTTCCTTTTCTTCATTTCTTACACATTGTTTTTGTTTAGTATAGATGTCATTTTCCTGGGATTGTGTAGTCAAGTTCTTTAGCTGAGCTCCTTTAGCAGAAACTTCATCCTTTTCTGTTTTCTTCACACTGTAATTGTAAATAATGAATGAACTGTCCTTTCCAGTGACATCAGCAAACCAGCACAATAATTAGAAATGCTATATTGCAGCATCATGCTGTGCTGTATTATATTTATAAGTTTGCTTCCATCAACAATATGTATAGATATACTATACCTTAAAAGCTGACAGCATGTTTCAGCCTTTCAGGCATCATCAGGTATTGATTTATCTGCTGTTTTCCCTGCATTTGACAATGTTTACATGTGGGTGTACTTTGTGTTCTTAATCATATATATATTTGTATTCATCTTAGCTATAATTTTAAATATTAAAATGTCAAATATGTGGTTATGATATTTCCTATTAGTTAAAATGCCTTAATTATGCTTGATATATAAAGCTGTTAAATGGTGTAGTTTTTGTGCCAAGCTGTACTGGAGGTTGCTATTGTGTTCACTGGATCTAGCCCATAATGACTTTTCTGTGTTGCCAAAGATAAAGGAAATATTGAATGGAGGAATTTTGATGAAACTGATTACATTAGGAATAATATGATGGCAGCTCTGAAGGCCATTCCACAAAACCAGTTCCAAAATTGTTTTGAAGGGCGGACTAGGCGCTGGTATCGGTGCATAGCTTCTCAAGAGTACTTTGAAGGCAACCACAATGATATTCAGCAGTTAGGTATGGAGCACTTTACTGCGATGAGTTTGCAAACTTTATTGTCAGACCACATTGTGTTTATGATGAATGACTGTGTAGAAAGCCATAAAGCTGAAGCATGTTATAAACTTTTAATGTATAGTATAGCTATACACAGACTGTGTTGTTGAAAACAAAATAGTAAGTACAACACAGTAATATTATAGGAGGAAGAAAGTAAACATATAGTTAATTTTTCATATGCACAAACCCAAAGAGAAATAAATTTTGGAATTCTAAAATATAGAATTTCCTCATATGAAAGCTGTAATATATATAAATGTAGTATATGTGTCTCACAAACATAGAATCTGATTATAGAATGTTATACACCATTAGGAGTCTCCAGTGGTTGTTTACAGTGCATATTTTGAATTTTCAGTACTGATATTAACACACAGTTTTAGTAACTGAGCTACATAGAATGGATAATCTGGCCAGGTAACTACAGAACATCATTATAATTAAATAAACTACATATATAGTTCAACATCAATTGAATTAACCTTATTTTATTTTATAATGAAACAACTATGGTTTTGGTTGGGGGAGAGAGGGCATTACAGTTGCCTTTCCTTAAAAATTTACAATCAAATTGTCATTAAGTCAACAAATAAGAAAGATACATATACAGCATAGCCTCTGTTCTTTTATCACTAATCACGTACCACTTAAACTCCAAAATTACGACACATAGCATCTTATAGTGCATGATGCAACTTGATGTAAGGAATTAAATTCTTGATTTAAAACAGACAGTTTAAGGAGTCCCAAGGTTAACAGTATAATGATTTGGGAGTCAGCTCATTTCATGCATTAAAATATGACAATTTTATTGTTGATTCAGAGAATTTGTTGTCTAGAGGGGGAAAGCCATAAGTAATGTAGGCCTGCTGTATTCCCCTGGATTCTGTGCAACACTTGGGGGTAAATAGACTTCTTCATTTCATTTGGAAATGTTCATATGGGAGACAGATATTACTGTTATGTGTCCTGTTGATGTTTGAGATAACTTTAACTTACATAAGTGATTTCTGGTTTGTTGTGTTGAGAACTTTATAAGTCTTTCCTCCAGTTTTCAGAAACTTCATAGCCTTCTGCATCTGTGTATCAGGTGACACTGTGTTTGATTTTTTCATTTTTAGCAAAATTACCTTGTAACCTGCCTTAACCTGAAAGGAAATATTTTTCTTTATTTACAGTATAATTATACATCTGTAATTATTTCTGTATACATGCAGTAAAATATGACTGAACATGCATGACAGTTATATCTCTTACCTCAGGTTTGGAACCACTTTTGTGTTCTGCATTATGATTATCATCCAATTGAAGTTTTTCCTCAGTTTCTTCTGGTGCTTGCTCTTTAATTGCTTTTGTGTCTGGTTTCATTAAATCATCATCTTGTGACTGTTCTGTTTTTTCACTAGAATCATCTGAATTAGGACTCTCTGGTCTTGTATACCTATAGTGTTCCTATAACCAAATTTATGTATTATTAATTGGAAATTATTTTTGAACGGCTAAGACAGGGTTATTATGCACTATTCAGTGTAATAGTCTAGACACACGAACATGGAGGCAAAAGGCAAACACTTCATTTATACAGCCAACATGATCAGAAAGGAGGAGGTACCTAGTAACCTAGCTTTTTATTAATATGAAAGAAAATTAAGTATGAGATCAGCCTGCCTCTTTTCACCCCTGTTATCCTACAGATCAATATGTAGCGTAGTATCCTGAAATATAGTAGTATGATTACAGTTTTAAAAAATATGAGATTTGTTTCATTCTGGTCCGTCACACTAACAATTACAAATATAAATCACTCCATCCAATGTGACCTGTAAGTTTTTTACTACATGAAAACTTAACACCCTTACATGTTTCGGTCTCTGTGGACCATCTTCAGAGGGCAAACATCACTACAAATAGGAAACCACCATCACATAAGTTGTTTAGACGTAAAGTACGTACACTTATATGCTACAATGCATAGTACACAAAACAAAACATTTCACAAACACAACAGTTTCCTGGGAATGTAAAGTTTTTAAAAAATTATATAAAATTTCTTGATGCTAATTAAATTTTTTTTTGGTATTGTCAATAATTTAAATTCGTAAACCATGCAGGCTCGTGTTCGTCCTCCCATTGAATGAACATTGAAATAGTAAAATACCCATAATATATTTGCAGAACCTCCACATCAAGATAGCCGGTGGCACAATATCTGCCCCATGTACGAGGGACGATGGGAGGATGAACACGACAGTATGAACTACATACAAAAGAGAATGCATATTTTACCTCCTCAGTTGGCATTACATCAAAGCCTAGAATAGTCCGTAATCGGGCATCTGCATCCAAACAGTTGATCACCAATTCATGGCATATTTCCAGTTTTGAGACACAGGAAGTACAAACATTAATAGGCAGTAAGTCATCTTCAGTAACCTGTAAATAAAAATCACATGTGACAGTTAATCTTACTTGCTACACTGGTAGCTTTAATACTTGTCATTCTGGCACCACAGTCATAAATTACATACAAGGTTATTTCTAAGCTATTTTCATATGTCACAAAAAAATGATGGTCAAGTATGGAATCTAAGGTTCTCAAAGCAGTGAATAATTAGATTGCAGCCATCTGGTACATGACACGTTATAGTTTTGACATAGGTATCAGCATTCTGGAGAAACCTGCTGTCCCAACCTTCACAGTAAAATAAGTGAGCTGAGCAGTGAAAAACAGTATGTACTACAGTAAACTGTCAGCTTTCTGGTGTGATGTACATATGTTCGTCTACCATATGGCAGTTCTTCCAACTTCCAGTAGCAGGATTACCTATTGTCCTCCCTCATGCAGGTACATTATAGTAGAGGCTAATTAAATTTGTAATTACATTACTTCATTTTATGCAGGGCAAAATCATGACATAGAGATAGGAAACAGATGATTTGAAAATGTAGCACAGTTCAGATATTTGGGAACAGTGATAACAAATCAAAACCTGATTCAGGAGGAAATTAAGAGGAGATTGAACTCGGGTAATGCTTGCTGCCATTCAGTCTGGTCTTCTCATCTGCTGTCCAAAAACATCAAAATTAGAATATATAAAAGTATAATTTTGTCTGTAGTTCTGTATGGGTGTGAAATTTGGTCTCTGACATTAAGGGAGGAACATAGACTGAGGGTGTTGAGGAGAATATTTTGACTGAAGAGAGATGAAACTTCATGATGAGGAGCTTCATAACTTGTACTCTTCTCCAAGTATAATTAGAATGATCAAGTCAAGGAGGATGAGGTGAGCAGGGCAAATAGCACGAATGGGGGAGACTAGGAATGTGTATAGGATATTGGTGGGAAATCCAGAAGGAAAGAGACCACTGGGTAGACCAAGACATGGGTGGGTGGACAATATTAAAATGGATCTTAGAAAGATAGGATTGGATGGGATGGTATGGATTGGATTGGTCTGGCTCAGGATAGGGACCAGTGGAGGGCTCTTGTGAACACAGTAATGAACCTTGGGGTTCCATAAAATGCAGGGAAATTCTTGAGTAGCTGCAGAATTGGCCACGCCTTAAGAAGGGCTCAGCTCCATGCGTAAGTAAGTATTACTTCAGTTTGGCTATGTATGAGTTTTACTCATGTAATGGCAGATTCATGTAACTAGTACACCCCACTCCCATTACATATGGAATGATGGGAAGTTTCCTGTATACACGTATGGAAGGGCTATACCATTTTCACGTGCTAAACTAATTTTTTCTACCCTGATAATGGAGGTAGCAAGTTCCTCTGAATATCTTCAGAAGTACATTGTGTCACATCCCAGATGACCTAAAATTAACCCCTTAGAGCATGATGGCTACTATAAGTACTACCTGCTTCAGCATTACATAGCCATGCATTTTGCCCATTAAGTTTACATGTGAGATTCACGTTTTTCTTAGAATAAATAGCAGCTGTTTTTTTTGTAAACAGCATTAACCATTCGGTGTTTCTAATGGACACAGTGTGCTTTTTGTGGAGTAACAATAACTGAATTTTTAAATACTGTGTACATGGATTTCAGTCTTCAGAGGGTCAATTATGGTTACCATTTGAGAAAGATTTCAAATGCAGGGTACTGTGGATGTAATAAACTAGGATGCCCAAGAAACATCCTTATGCCATTGAAATCACTTACCATGTTTAAACTTTATCAATGTACAGCAAATGCAAGTGATATAATATTACTGTACTATGTTTCTCATTCCACTCTTTGTATAGCAGTATTACAATGGCCAATTTACCATTTGAGCTCTGAAAAGTTTGATGTCCTACAACAAAAGCTGTAAGATTTAACTACGTTTTTTTGTACAGTGTGATTTCTTAAATGAGAACCCAGAGTGTTAGGAATGTTAGTAACATCACGTATGGCCACACCATAGCTCAAGCGGTTAGTTGCTGGCTTCCCACCGCAGCGGCCCAGGTTCGATCCCGAGTCTGGTTAAGTAGTATTTGTGGTGGACAGAGCGGCACTGGGGCAGGTTTTCTCCAAGTACTTCGGTTTCCCCAGCCAATATTCATTCCACCAGTTGCTCCACGATCACCCTCACCTATCATCTGGGGCTGGTACAATAGGCCAGAAGTGGCTGCAGTATAAGGGACTTAGTCCCACCCCACTAGCAATAAAAAAAAACATCATGTATTAGACAGCTGGGGCCATTTTGAAACATCTGTAACATTGGGTTCTTGTTTTAAAAAATCACCCTGTACGTGAGTCTTAAGTACAGTACTGTCCATTACCAGGAATCATTCTTTCACACATTCTTATATTGAACTTTAAAATGTATTTTTATTGTAGCATATCTGAGACTCAGCCCCGTCATGAGATCAGGATGTGAAGAAATATAAGAATTAGCTAGAATTTCTATGGCTAACATTCTGAAAAGAAAAAAAAATGCTCTCATGAGCACCACATAAGGAGTCAAAACCAGACCTTTCATAACCACAGTCAATAATTTCAGTGACTGGCTGCAAAGCAGTGTTACAGTGCACCACAGCGGATAGGTTGAGGCATAATATGATGCCCTATTAGTTCATCTCTCATCACAGCAAGAGGCAGTTGTGTGCAAACAGTATAAGCAGAACTACGGCCTCTGTTGTGTACTGCAGTTAAATGTGAGTGGCAGAAATTGAAAATGTGGCAGTTTGAACGGACAAACATCAAGTTTTGCCAAAAACTAGTCAAATTACCAAGCGAAACGTTTGGCATAGGAAGAATTGGCTGTTGCTACATGACAACGCCCCTGCACATTGCTCTGTTCTTGTCCAAGAGGAACTGGCAAGGCAACAGGTCACCGTTTTGCCACACCCTCTGTATTCACATAATCTCGCACCATGCGATGTCTCTTTCACCGCTTGAAACCAAAGCTACGTGGTCATAGATTTCAGTCGTCTGAGGAGGTCGTCAATGCCACAAGAGACGCCGTACGGGAATCTCCTGCCAATATGTTTCAGCAATGTTTTTGACAGCTATATCAATGTTGGCAGACTTGCATAGTGGCCAACGGCCACTATTTTGAGGGCGGATGTGGATTTGTGTAAGTGTATTTGAATACCTTGTAATATGATGTGATAAAACTACAGTCCACGAAATTAATGACTGTACCACATATAATAGTGTGATGTATGTTCAGCAATATATAATATGTAATTTATGAAGTATTCTTTTTAACTTTATTTGTAAGTTTGGCTTATCTGAACGGTGTCCTTTCTAATAAAGAACAAGTGGCAAACTTCTGCTATTCAAGTTGTCCATAATTGTGTGTTTAATATCTAATTTTCTATCAGGATTTAAGTTTTATTCTTATGATGCATTTTGTAATATGCTGTTATTTATTGCAGAACCCAAACTCATGTTACACTTTGATTTGAAAGATAGTGTCTCCTAACAACAACAAACTATTTATCACCATACAAAAGAACTATACCAAGATTGGCAGATGTGTATGAATTTTATCAACCAGTTGAAGTTCCTTTCCTCTCTCTCCAAAACAGTGAACCATATCTTCACTTGCTTCTGCACAGAGTCGACATAGCTGACTTGTCAATACATCAAGATCCTCTTCACTGTCCAAACTCCTGTTATCACCTTCATTCTGCCAATCTGAGCTATTCACTGAGCTTTCATCACTCATAATGAAATTTTACAAACCTAGAAAAAAGTATTAAAATGTAATATGTTATAAACAGTTCTGAAATTTTCAACCTTCTCATTTGAATCCAGTCAGATGCACAGAATCATCACTGTACTGAAGCTCAATAGCGTGAGATATGGAATAGATTAAACAACAGTAAGGTAGGTACTTTTAACCCTTTGGTGCTGAATTTCTACTCATATAAGGATAGCCCCATGATCCCCCCCCCCCAGCCAGATTTCCTTAAGCTGCATGTTATAAAAAGAAAACAAAGAATTACAACAATAACATTGATTTGGTGCCATATGTTACAAACAAAATGTTATCAGTAACACAGATCTTCAAATAATGAAGCTGTTAATATTCTCATTCTATGATTTTTTTCAGGCACAACATAAATTTTAGGCCCCTTTCTGATGCAGAAGCCAAAGAATAGAATGTCTCAAATGAATATGGCCCAGAAAATCAGTTCACTAAAGCTGAAACAAGACTGTTTTATCAGTAGATGACCACAAAGAACTTTGTTCTGAAACAAGAAAAATGCAAAGGCAGGAAACTTTAAGAAGAAAGAATAAGTGTACCTTTGTGCAACAGTGCTACTGGTGAAAAGTCAAAACTATTAGTGGTTGGTAATGCTGTACAACCTTGCATATTCAAAGAACAGCATGTGGACACTAATCATGCTGTTACATGGAGCTCCAGCAAAAAGACATGATTACCACAACAGATTCGAAGAATGGCTGACTGATTTTAACAGCACAAAGAAGAAATAAAAATGGAGAATCCTCTTGTGTGTCAGTAATGCTGCCAGTCATCACAGAACAGAGGTAATGAGCAAAGTAATGCTGTAATTCATTCTGCCAAATGTGACCCATGAAGTTCAGTCTCTAGAACAGGGGATGATACATACTGTAAAGGCACAGTATTGTAAGATGTTTTAGTATCTTGTAACAGGTGTGGAATATAGCAGTAAAAATCTGATTTCATCAATGTTAGTGTCAAACACAGTTTGATGGCTAACCAATGCCTGAATTGGAATTTCACAAGAAACCACTGTGAAGTGCTTCTAACGAGCAGGTTTTCAGTACCAAGAGGAAGACAGTGAAGTATGTGAGGATGGTTGGCTCTAGCTGAAGTAATAGGTTATCTTCTACTGGACATTCAGAGGGGGCACACGGTAGCGTAGTTGGTTGAGGCACTATGCTACAAGCCGGAAGGTTGCGGGTTTGAGCCCCAATGAGGTGGATTTTTTTTTCAATTTACCTAATTCTTCCAGCCGCACTATGGCCCTGAGGTCGACTCAGCCTCTAACAGAAATGAGTACAAGGAAACTTCTGGGGGGGGGGCATAAAGGGTGAAGATGGAAAATGTCAATGCTGACACTGTGCATACAGAAGTGCTTTTCATCACAGAAGAAACCACTCCTCACCACCAACAAGAGGCATTGCATAGTTTTACCATTCCCATAAAATTACCAGTAGAAGTTCAGTTTTCATATGCATAGCCAGAAGCTTTCCTCACACAGCATAGATTATATATTTATATATGATATGCTTTGCCTAACAAATTATCATCAGCTTAAGAGACTGGATGTTAATCTGTCCCAGTCAGTTTCCATCCCTCCTGATTTTCTTTGATCTTCCTGATGGTGTACTCTAAAGCAAAGTTAAATATCAATGATGATAAGCCACAAGGCACAAGGTGATGAGAAACAGATGTTTACCAATAGATACTTTACTACAGGTTTTGTTCATACACAGTTTAATTAACCTGACCAGTTTCATGGGTACACTGAATTCTTTGCAAATATTGTACAGTATTTCTCTCCTAACGGAAGTATATAAACAAACTGATGTGCTGTCCCATTCTACTCCAATTTTTGTCCTGCATCAGACAACTGCAAATATCTGATCACTAGTTGATCTACTGCATCAGAAGCCACACTCAGAATCCAAAATTATTTTGTCTGTGTATAGAACAGAGTCAATCTTGAGAGAAGACTACAGGCTAGAATTTTATATGTAATTAATAATTACAAAATGAGTTTGACTTTTTTTTTAAGTATTAACAAGAAGTTCTGGGAAGAACTAATTGCCTACTTTCCTTCAATACAACACCGACTGCATAGAAACTGACACGTCCAACAATTCTTCTATTGTTGCATGTGTATTCATTGCCATGTTAACATTTTTACCAAGCACTGTTGTGGGGTTAAACATATAGATACACACTGTGATGAGTGGGATTTATGAAGTATGATGTTGAGATGGGTTCAGTTGCCATGATATACATACCAAGTATCATAAAAATTGGTTCAGACATTCAAAATTAATAGGGAGGATACACAACATGGTCATCTCATAAACATGCTTTTATTTTTTTCAAACTAAGGAAAATATAATAAAAACAGAAATTCTTCCTTATTCCAAATAGACACTCTTCAACTCTTAAGATGGAAGCAGCAAATTCCTCTAAATGAAGGTAAAAAGATGGATGGAGAAGATGATGAATAGAGAGCAGAGGAGACTGGTTGTAGAGGAGGCCAAGGCTCACCCTGGGCTGTAGCACCAAGTGGTTGTAGGTTGGTAACCTTTTTTAAATTATGTGTCTATACAGTCTTCTAACATTTTTATTTTGTTTGTTTCAACTTCTTATTTTCTCTTTCAAATATTCTCTTTGTTCCTGAAATGTCTACTAGGTTCACATCTTAGAGTGTTATGATTATGATTGTTCTCATTTATTGGGCTTACATTCTGCAACAACTGCAATTTAGCCCACTTTCACTGATCTAATAATTTTGGGCAGTCTTTGTCAAACAATAGCCTATGCAGCTTTAACTTGTAGTTACTTAAGACCCTTTGGCCAAAGTTGTTATATTCTCTCTGATACTCTCCCAAGCCATATTGATGGCTATGTTATTGAAAACTGCAAGCTTGCCTCAGATTTTAACCTGTTATTGTTTGTTTTAACTTCCACATCATTTAGATTGAATATCTCCTTATCAATTGTTGCACAGCACATTTTCTTACTGACAATCTACCTCCAATTATTTTAGCCACCAGTAACTCATGGATGAGGCACACAGGCAACAATTATGATCCCTTTTCCTAGTGCAGGCAATGTATACAAAGTTAAAATAGCAGAAAAAATTAACACTTAGTCACAGTCATTAACATTGGGTTATAAATTTCTCTTGCTTTACATATGCGCTTGGAAATTCAAATTCTCCTAATATTGTAAGTCAGCTAGTTATTTTTCTGGAGTGATAGTTGTCTGGACTATATATATATAAATATAAACAATGAATGGGGTACTTTTGTTCATGCTGCTGTTTGAAGACACCAGTACCAAAGGGCAGGTCATACCCAAAACGTTGTTTGTCATGGGATCAAATTAACTATCAGGAGTGAATAAATAGAACTAATTAAACATTCACTCAAAATGAAATTAAATAGCAGTGTGTGACACTACCATTACATTACAGAATAACTAGGCTTAGTGCCAAGGTGAATTTATAGATACATTGTCACTTTTAAATGATTGGTATTTAAATGCATATTCATTGCATGTACATAATCAATATTTCGTGTGGAACATGAGGTACTGTGTTCAAGTAACTGAACAAAAATAAATGGGTGTTGCCTGTACATAACCAAGGTTACGAGCCAGTAACTTTTAAATCGGCCTCAGAGATAGTTACAAAAACTTCACAAAGATTTCGGGAAATTGAAATCGCCAAAGATTTGATAATAATGCCGTGAACATCACATCTTGCCACACAAGACATAATCTTTGAAGAAGAGATTCTGTTTCCCGAAATATTGGTCGACGGTTATAAGCTATGTAAGCAGCTTTGCTAGCAGGGATTATAAGAGGTGCAATAATATTTGTTCCGTAAACTCACCTGACTCTAGAATTGAAATACAACGAATTGTGGCTGATTTATATTAAAAGTAGTTCAGTTTTACAGACAAAAAGAGACCGACGAACATATAAACTCCAAAACAATTGTACAAATTTGAACAACCTGTGTCTACGTTTTTCAGAGATGAAATAGTAATGTTCTCCATTAATGCACAGGCGGCAAACAACTGTGCCGTTACAGTGGCCTACCATGATACGTGATTCCTGGACTAGTTTTATTGAATGTATTGCCGAAGAAGAAATAAGATTTTTGTATAACCATTTATAACTTATATTTTTCCATGTGTCACATAATGCTTATTCTGATCGTGTCGCTGATTGCTTTGTATCAGCGTTTGTATGCACACTGAAACAAGTACAAGTCTCGCGAAATGTATTGTGATGCATGAAACATGGGCCACATAAGTTGAGGTAGTCTAGTTCGCTAGTTGGGATGAGAGTAAGATAACACATTGAATAAAATATCTTAATAACTAATTAACTCAGTGCCTATTTACTGATGAGATCCAATATTGCCATTGGCACAGACTCAGGTGAGACTACAATTAAAGATCTATATTTGTATTCGGTAGGTGCTTGGTACTAATCTAGGCTAGTCACCAACCACATTGACAAGGTTTTGTTAGGAAAATGCTAGGATAAGCCACGACCATTACTTTCTAAGTTGTTTGAAATTCATTAGCCATCCCATCATCCGACGCTACATAATTTTGATACTGCAAGCGTCGTTAAATAGTCCACTAAAGAATCTACTATTGTTTTATAGGAAATACCAAGAAGAAACGTTGTTGTATTAAACCTATGATGAATGGATCATCAGATTCTAACACGCTGGCAGTGAAAGAATTTATTTGTAACCTCAATCGGCAGGGGTTACTATGTGCTATGACATACATCTATACACCTTAGTTCATGAGGGTAAGTGTTCATATTTTGGTGTGCTTGTCCGGATCTAGTAACTCTGGAACAAATGGAGGAATTTTCGTAAAGCATGGAATGAACAGCATGATTTGGGAAGCCACTCAATCTTCTTACTCTTTAATTCCTCCACAGCGATTATGGGAAAATTTCTAGTGAAAGAAACAGGGCATTAATTAACGCAGAACCCTAAAATTTCAAGTGGACATACACCTAAAAAAAAAAACTCTTACTTATAGCCAGATATCAAATTGCAACATGGGACCTACAGGAAACCAAAGTTTAGTATTCAGTTTAATATCAATAGCAAATGCAGGAACCATTGTAATTATACATATTAAATTTAGTATGCAGATTCATTGTAAATATACAATTAAAATTATAAGTGAAGATTGTTGTTTTATTAAAAATTGCAAAACTTGCCACGATTCAAACGTTTATCGTCGTGGGTAGCAAATTTCAAGGCTGTGAAAACCTAATTCCATGGATATAGTTTCTTAGTATCTAATAGTCTCAGAACTAGTCAAGAAATGTATCGCCCTTCATGGAATACGAAAATTCATTCCCATGTTCACAAAAACCAACACTTGCATCTTTGTTCCGAACCTGACAAACGCATTCATCGTCACACACTGTTCTGTTAAAATCGCTCATAATACATTGTTTCAAAATGTGATTACATCTTCGAAGTGTCCCCATCCCTTGATATTTTCTTATTTAAATCACACGCGATTTTTGTCTTTTATTAAAGCCTCAACTCTTTCTATGAGATAAAATTTCAATTAGATATTTTATTCACCGCCCATCTTTTAATAATCTACAAAAAATATTGAATCGCACAGCTACCGATCAATTTTTATTATTCAAATGGCCTGAAATTTTAAGGCCACGCAGTACTAATTTACAGGTGTACTTTTAAAAATTATATTCTTTCCTGTTTTTCTCCGATTTATGCCTTAGTAGATAATATTCTCCCACACTTCGAAACTCCCTATGGCAAGCTTTCACAAATTTTCTTCTGAATGGGCTGTTGAAAAAATTAAGGTACAATGTTCAGTTAAACATTTGCTTTTTAAAACTATTTTATTCTTTAGCATTTTTCTCTTATTTATACTATGTTAGAAGATAACATTCAGCCACCATTGTAAACTTCCTGTGGTTAATACTTTAAATCTAACAGTTTACTAATTTTCTTTAGAAAAGGCTAGTGAAAAATGTTCTCACAGTGGGGACCTTAGTTATACTATTGGAATGTGAAGTAATCTTATCTGGTAGGAGTTTGCTGTCGTGTGGGAAGAACATATCTTACCCCAGAAAACTTTTCCCATGCATTATTGTGCTTTTCGGTTTCTCTCTCAGACTTGGCGTTCATGAAATGAATATGGACGTACTGAAATCACTTTTAAGAGGATCCGTGGCACTGATGGCAATAATTACTATGTTTTAACGAAGAAAGAAAGCGATATAAGAGTGTAAAACAGTGGAGAATAATTCCTCGTTAAATTCCAACGCTATATTTTACTTGTACTGTAGATTTTTACCGAAGTTTTATAACCTTGGGAGATTGTCTTCACTCAGAATCGTGTATCCGTGCCGTGAAGAGACATTTATTCATGTAATGTTGGTGTTATGTAAACAGAAAGTATGTAATTTACTGTAATCCATGCTTGCGATTAGCATGAGTTTCGTGGGTTTCTCAAAGTGTATAGGTTAATTAATTTGTTGCTCAGACTTCCCGCGTTATATATTAATGTAATGTTAACAGTAAATTAATTATATTATGTGGTATGATAAGTGAGTAAATATGAGCAGTAGGAGGTGTGCAGCAAAAACTTGCTTCAATACCCAAGGATGTCGTCCTAACCTTAAATTTTTTAATTTCCCGAAAGAGGAACAGCTGTAAGTTATGATGAATCAAAATAGTCATTTACCCATCATGTATGAAGTATTTTAACAAATTTATTGAACTATGTTATGCAGGGAGATGAAAGTTGAAGCGGAGTTTTGGTAAATGTTTTTCAGGGCAGTTGTTATGCGCATATTTCTATTTCATTTCTAGATGTTATCAGTGGGCCATAAATAGTGATAGAGAAGATCTACTGGACAAGCCAGTTGAACAGTTAAGCAAGTTTTTGTTATGTGCCGATCATTTTGAACCACACTGGTTCCTGAATCCCAAATATAAGACAGCTTTTATCCATAAAGGGCAACCTGTGCCTACAATCTTCCATAATAATTTAGCAGATTTTGTTCCAAAGAGCTTAAAGAGAAGTTTTGCACTGAAGAATGAAAGTCATCATTCAGGTAATTCTAAAACTGCAATTATTATTGTACCATTGTGTCAGTTGAAGTTACAGTTTATGATGATTTCTGTAAGTCTCTTGAGTTAGTCTATGATGTTGCATGTATTGGTATTTTCAATGCAATGTTGTGTCATATTTGATATGGAGGTAAAGGATAAAAAGGTTAATGTCCTTGTGCTTAATTAGGTGCATCTGTGTAAACATGAGCACACTAAAGGCAGTTATTATGTATGTAAAAGAGCATAATTGTTGACTTTCAGCGTGGTGCTTGGGGCAGTGATTCACAAAGGCAGTCATTATTAGTTTTTATGAATAATACAGAAGAGTTCAGAAGTAAATGGATTTAAGGTGTTACTTTCCTTTTTGCTTGATTACCTTCAATATACTAGGTTCTAAATCGTTTGTATCTTTATATGTTAATGGAATACCAACATCAACATATTCTGTATTTAATGCCGCAAAGGAAAATTTTCATTCATGAATGATGCTGTAGCATGTTCATAGTTGAGAATCATTGGCTTCAGGCACCTGTATGAATTCCTGCCTATCTAAAGAAGCACACTATGTTAGCTGTGACAGGAGCAGGTACAGCAATAATGGACATATAAAATTCTTTATGGGGATCCATTGTAACACAACAACAAAACGGTCTAGGTCAACATCACCTTAGCTACATGTTTCGGCTTTTAAAGCCATCATCAGGCAAATACGGATCCCAATAAAGAATTTTATATAATAAACACAACAGGATGCACCCAATGAAAAATACTGACATATTTTAAATTAAATTTACATAATCTGTCACTATAATGCTGTCATAATGGTATGTATGAAATTATGTTATCACATAAAGCTGTTGCAGTGCTGCATATACTGGTTGCAGGTATTATTAATTCTGTTAGTACGTGGATCTGTCAGTAGTAGTCTCGCTATCATAATTTTCATACAGAGTGATTATTTAGAAGACATCTGGAAACCTGATTTTGTATTTCTTCTGTATTGGACAGTATGATTGGATTGCAACTACACTTCACTTAAATATACCGACTTTGTATGCTTTTTATATTGCATTGAAGAGTTCAGTATCTCTGTGTGAGTCAACCTGTTACATGTAGTCAAGTTATAATCTTTACACCTGTCTGTGTTTAGATTATCAGTATTAGTTGAGTACTGAGGTAAAGGAGTGAATGGGCTTTATTAATGAGTAAGNTACTGTAATGATATTCACACTACTTTTATCTCATTTGTCTACTATTTTGAATTGTTTCATTTTTGGTCCGTTACACTATCAATCACAAAGTCAATAGAAAGTCCGTCGAGTGTAACAATGTTTTTAGGTTACTTCTTTATCACTTTTGCAAAAGTGATAAAGAAGTGACCTAAAAAACATTGTTACACTCGACGGACTTTCTATTGACTTTGTGATTGATAGTGTAACGGACCAAAAATGAAACAATTCAAAATAGTAGACAAATGAGATAAAAGTAGTGTGAATATCATTACAGTACCAAGAATTAAATTGTCAAACCATGTTAAAATTATGGAATCTAGCAGACATGAGTGGAACTCAGAACAGGTACAGCAAGTGAAGCAGGCCAGGTTGAAGTACTGTGTAACACAGAATATTTCATTAATTTTTCCACGTTTTATACGGGTGTGATATGTGGGCTCTTTGAGAGAAAACCGTAAATTACAGGTGCTTGAAAATAATGCTTAGGAAAATATTTGAACCTAAGAAGGATTACACAGTTATTCATGATTTGTACATATCCATTCATATAGTTAAGACAATGAAAATTAGGATGCTTAGGCTGGTTATGTGACTTGGAAGATGGAGATGAAAAATGTGAACAGACTCTAGTGAAGGACCTCCTAGTAAATGTCCAGTGGAAGACTAAAAAGGAGATTCAGAATAACATTAAGACGGATAACGGAGGTAAGTTGTGGATGGAAGGTGAATGGAGCTGCATCAATATTGTGTCCAGTGGTTGATGGTTTTAGTAGTATTGAACCTTCAGGTTCTTCTGTCACAGTGTTAGTTAATTCAATTCCCTGTTTCTCTCTATGTTGAAGAGAATTATGCTTTTCTAGTACAAAATTGTGGGGTATGTGTTGAAGGGTAATATTATTACAGGGCTAGTAAAAAGTATATTTTAAGGTCAAAGGAAGTGAGTGTTTTTGCTGCTTGTTATGATATTTCACTTTTGGTTGGTTGATCCTTAAAGATATGCATTATTTTGCTCCTAAAAAAGGAAATTTGCAGCAGGTGTAGCAATCTGTTATGGTCGATTCTTAGTGTACTGTATTGAATTTCCATCTTTCAACTTTTGTGTCAAGAAACTGTGTTCATGTCCAGACTCAGGTTAGTAATCGTGTTTCCCGCTACAGTGCGAAAACATCTTTTTGGATACATCATCATCATGATATAATGACAGATCATTACATCACCATTAGAAAGTTATTGATCCCCCTCCCAAACATATGATGGCAACTAAAATTGTTGTACTGCAGATCTCATTGAATGTACCCTCAGAGATGTTTTAGATAAATAATACATAGAGTTTTGGCAAACCACTTAGAGGCATCTGTGTTGACATCATCATAATTTTATGAGTTGTGCTCTTTAAGCTGATAATCAAATAGTTCAAACAATAGCACATTTTGGTAAAGGGTGGTGATTTAATTCCTTCCATCAGATAAGTGACAGAAACTTGATGGTCACTTGGGCTGAGTGAGATTGCCCAAGATCGCTTGTTAATACATGGTTGTGTTTTAAGGCCTCTGTTTTTTTTTACACAGAGACCTAAGTGGCAGACCCAATTATCTGCGGTGTTCTTCCTTTCATTGAATTATGAATAACCCAGCCTTTTTTGACATGAGATATTTTCTCAGATTGTGCTGTCTTTGATTTAAGAACAGAGCTTTGTATTACAGTAACATTAATAGTGATGTGCGTTTACAGTTATTATTACCTCTATCGACATATCAAATTTCATGCCTCTAGCATTAATATCTTTCCTAGAAACTAAAGTATACTTAAGAATTTAAATGATCCTTATATGTGACGTAATTTATTTAAGCCTAGCTTTCATTTTCATTCCAATTTTTTAAACTCTAGAAAATATATATATATATGCCTTTCACAGGGTTTATGTTAAGAAACGTAATATTAAAATGTGGGATGATCATGATGGCTGTGCAGTCTAAGGCATGAAATGTCTTCACCAGTCCTGCCGACTGTGTAAAAAAAATCAAGAAACTGAAAAAGTGGCCAAGGTCCAACAAAAGGGCTGTAGAGTCACAGATAGATAGATAATGTGGTATAACTTGTAACTTGTTAATTAATATGTCGTTAATTATATATCATTTTATATTTTCAGATAAAGGAGATGACCTGTACCATAATATGAATGTTGTTAATAATGCCATGCAGAACTCGGTACACCAGAGTTCAGAAGAATTACTAGAGATTCTGAGAGATGGTGATGCATCTGATGGTTCACAGTTCCACCTGGTGATATCAGATGCTCAGACAGATCCAGACGACTATGCTGTGGAGATAAAAATTGATTTAGACTCTTATGCTGAGGATGCATCTACTATAAGAGGCTGTCACAAAATGTGCAGGCTTTGTGCACATCTGGTTTATGAATACAAATTAATTTCAGTTTTTTCATCAGACAAAACAAAATGTTTGGCTAGTAAAATGAACAGATTTCTACCAGAAAAAGTACGTAACATGGTTGAATACAGTCAGTACAGTGGATTGGCAGCTGTGAAAGGAGGATTCCATACTGCCCAAAATGTTGTTTGTAATTAGTAATATATGCTTTCAGATGGAACCCATTTGGTATTTAGAAATTTAAATGTTAAGAGTTGTCTGTCTTGTGACAGTAGCTGACTAAGCTGAATAAAAATACACATAAAACTGCGATAAACTGTATGGAATGCATCCTTAATATTACTGAGTGTCTGGGCTTCGTCCATCATCTTGTGTTTCAGAATACTGGATGATAGATGAAGTCCAGAAACTGAATAACACCAAGAATGATGTACCATCATCAGAACCCCTTAGAATAAGTGGCATCATATGTTTACAACTACTAAAGAAAAAATTGGCCATCTGTACATATTGTGTTGTTCTAGTCATTTGGTTTGCATGCCTGTAGCTTAACGTATGACTTCGGCTTAGGCCTTCAGGGGTTTCTCCCCCCCCCCTCTCTCACTGAGTCAGAGGTGATACCAAGATTGGATGAAAAATGTTTTGGAGCTCAGGGAGACTTGGAAAGAGCAATTATTTCTGCAACTGCATGGTTAATTAAGAGAGGTGTTGCAAGAATGACTTGGCAACCAAGTGGTCATGAGAGGAGGTGATGAAGGGTTTTAACAACCATGTGATTAGGAAAAGATATGAACAAGTTTTTCATTACCAAGCAGAATTGGGGTGTTGTCCCTGTGCATGGCAACTAAAAACTTATTCAGCACTTTATTTTTTTCATAATCATGGGGTCATCACCCCTTTTCAAGTCTGCCTGAACCGTACAACATTTTTCTTCCTCTGTGTAGTCACTCTGTGTTGTTAACACCCTGCTCCTCTGTTTGATCCAGCCACAGTTTCAACTCTCTGTGGGAACTATGTAAATGCTTCCACCCCTCATGTTCATCCTGAAGATGACAATTGCAGTGGTTGCCAAAACACTGGAGAACCTTCAACATTCTACATGGCATATACTTGAAAGCTTAAGTCATACAATGTATTGTTTTACTGTTATGATCATCTGTGAAACAGATTACATTTCCAAACTGTCAGATCAAAAAGAGAGTTAAACGTATAAGTTCAGCTGTAGAGGGAATAGTTGACACATGTAGAACAGTGCACACTAAACTTCACAATGCGTACAAACATCAAAGAAGTAAACGCAAATTCTGTGTTTACATTATGAACCATGTGAATGGGGAGTTTCTACGAAATTTAAGCCTGTAAGAGTGTACAATAAAAATTTAATGCTTTGTTGCAGGTCCTGGAAGGAGATGGATTGCCTGAACATGTATGTAATTCATGTGTGAACAAATTGAATGAATGTGACGTCATGATCGAGACTTTCATAGCAGCTGACAAAAAGTTAAGAAGATTGTTCCAAATGCAGAATGTCATGCCAGCCAAAACAGATGAAGCAACAGATAAGGTAATTTTCTTTGTGTTCAGTAATTTGTACATATGGATTTCTATTCTGAAGATCAGTATTTTTTTTTACATCTTTTTTAATATTCTAACCAAAATATTAAAATGTATGAAACTTTCTCAGCTGCTGAATAGCTGTCTGTCACTGTAATGACAGGCAAGGATTTGGACAGCTGGGGTTGGATTCCTAGCAGGGAAAAAGATTTTTCTCTTTTCCCTAGAATCCAGACCAGCTCATGGGCTCACTTAGGTTCCTATACAGTAGATACGGGGGGACTTCTTCCTGTGGGGCGAAGTGACTGGAGTGTGAGGATGACCTCTCACCTCTGGCCAGTGTCATGGCCAAGAATGGTGAAATTGTACCTCCATTCCCCCATATATCTTCATGGCATGGAACTGTACCTATACTGTTATAAAACTTCATCATTATTTAGCAGTATTTCCAGCAGGGTGGGTCACCCTACACAGCAACAGCAGCAGCAGCAGCAGCAGCAGCAGCAGCAGCAGCAGCAGTGGTGGGAGAAGTAATTGTAATAGGAGTAACAGTAGTTTGTTGGGTTTTATTGTACGTTACAGATGTATCCTCCCACTCTCCAGTCTTCTGTATTCCTCCATAAGTATTCATTGTGTTTGTGTCTTTGCTACAGTCCACTCCTCTCTGTATACCTTCCTTCAGAGTACAAAAGGGAACTCGGTATCCTTATACTTCTCTCCTGATGATTGCCCAACTGAAGAAATGGAGTGTGATTCATTAGGGGCAGAGATTCTCCTCTTCATAACCATATTGAGACCAGCTTGGGGCCCACCCAGGGTTTTATCCAGTGGGTTCCAGGGCCTCTTTCCCCAGAACAGCTTGGCCAGGTCATGAAGCTGACCACTGACCTTCAACCAGTATCAAAGTTAAGAATGGGTGGAGCTATACCTCCACTCCTTCATACATAATTTCGGCATTATGCATAATTAGACACAGGGACAGATTTTGCCTTTTTTATATATTCTCAGAGTTGAGCTGTATACCTTGCACTCTTGTTAACTTGACAATTGTTTCTTGTAGTATTTCTAATGTCTTATCTTGTGTAATGTCATAATTTTGGATTCTGTCCCATGTTTGTGTCTTAATATGCCACTTTTCTTGTAATTTCTTATATCTGCTGCAGTTCAGTAATAATTGTTACATTCACAATGTAGGAACATCCACACATGTTCAATAAAAAGTCCCTGCAGTTACTTCAGCAGTGTTAAATAACATAAAAGCTTGGGTTTAAAAATTGTCTGTACCCATTATTCGTCATCATCATCAGTAATCTGTCAAGACGACAGGTCCACAGTCTCTTTCAAAACAATTCCTCCACTTAATGCGATCTAGAGCTTTCTCCTTCAAATGACAGTACCCATTATTCAGGTCACTTCAATTCTTTATTTATTTATGCTCTTTCAACACCCAAAGACCAATTATAAAGTAGGCACAAGAAAAGAGACAAAACAAATACACGTGAACAAAAGACAAAAGAAGGCAACATGTATCATTTAGACAATAACTGTTCAGTTGTGGTCATAATACCATATTTCTGAATAAGAAATGTATACTTAATTTATTGCTCTTATATCTCTTATTGTAGGATGATGCAAGAAATCCAAAATCACTCTCAGTTATAGTAGAAAACTCTGGGAAACCAACTTGTCTTGAGGAGTTTCTTGCAACAAAAGATAGTTCACCAGTGGATTCTTTCCTAGAAAGGTAATTGTAGACTTTAATAGCTATAGTCTCATGCTACCTAGCATGTGAAGGAAACTTTTGACTGAAGTGAAATTACAGGTTGCAATTATTATGAGGCATGTTCAAAACAAATACTGTTTGTGAATTGCCCTGGTTGAAGGAGTAAAGGCTGTTAAAAATTCCTGTGGGCACTGAGACAGGCATCCAATTGATGCATCCGTGAGTAGATGATTGAACCCCTTGGACTGTAGGACCCTGACTTTACCATCAGTGCCTAGTGCTATTGTGGAACCTTCTGAGACCTTCATACTGCTCTCAAGGGAAAGCATCCAGCATGCTCATGAGATGTGTCATCATGTTGCGCAACAGTGCCTGTTCCAGTTTGGCTCACACTCTACAGAATGTGCTGGTCTCTATGTGTTAAAATGTGTTGGACAAAACCCTATATAGGCCAAACATATCACCTTGTGACTGCCATGTGTGCACCTATCTCGAGAAAGTGCTAAAGGGCCATAATCTGTACTCTTTTGCCGAGAACAATCCCCAGACTGGTTTCATTTCAAAAGTACAAATTGATTCCGCATGAAAGAGTATACATGTAGATGTGGGAGCCCACCACAAAACATCTGCAGGCCAGCTACCAACTTCTTGTTGACCAGCAGAGCAGAGCAAGCGCTAGCCAATCACCACGGACCACAACAGCACCAGTGCCCATTGGGCTGGACACTGGTAGCAACAGTGAATAAAGATGGGGACCACATTGCACTAGTCAATTAGTTGGAGCTGCTTTCACCTTGAGACAGCTCATCTGGAGCGCACATAACTAAGGGATCATGGAAACTGACCAGGGAGTCTTGTGTGCCCATCTTATTTGTGATATACTGTAATTCTGTATTTCAGCATCCTGTTGCAAATCTTTAATTAAATGTCTATGTATCCATAGTCCATCAACAATGCAACAATTGTTTATTCACCATTTAACACTTAACACAACATGTTTTGGCCATCGATGGCCATCTTCAGGTGTCTCGATGCATCCAAACTGTTACGCTGCTCTGTTGTGCGCTAAAATGGATTTTAATTAGTTATTTATGTTATTTCTAAGTGACTGCAACGCGTGGTTTTAGCGCCCAACAGAGCAGTGTAACAGTTTGGACGCATTGAGACACCTGAAGATGGCCCACTATGGCCGAAACATGTTGTGTTAAGTGTTAAATGGTGAATAAACAATTGTTGCATTGTTGACGGACTGTGGATACAGGGACGTTTAGTTATACTGTATTTTTACTTCCTTGTATATGTAGTATATGTGAAAAAGTACTGTGATCATGAAAAATATTTATCTGAAGATTTTGAGAAATTATTATTACTCTTTGAGTGCCCCCCCATTATGAAAAACCGGTTTATGGAATGTCTTCTGTCTGTCAGTCAGTCAGCCTGATGAATATAAATATTCTAGCTCCAAAAATAGGTCCCTTCAAATGGCCACAGAAAACAGTATTGTGATTTTCTCATAAACTACTCTAATGATTTTTATTAAATCTATGGAGCTCATGTCCCTAAATAAAACTGCAGAGGTGGTATTTTCACAGAGGTAACAGTACATGTGCTGCAGGCCCAATCACAAAATGTTGATTCTATTGAAATTGACTTTTCTAGTCAGGCAGATTTCAGTATTGTTTGGTATTCAGTAACCAATGATAGTCTTCCAGGCAACAGTCAGTTTTGTTTCCAAGGTAGTAGAGTCAGTCCTTATGAGAAAGTATGTCTTTACACCAAATTTCATTCATATTAATCACTTCAGTACAGCTTTCCTTTCAGGTAAGTCATTGATTATATTTGATGCACCAAGAACTTCAACAGCAAATGTATGAACACATGAACAGCATTCACAGTTTTGTATCAAATTTCACCACCTTGAAATTAACAAAATGAATTGATCAGCCACATACACTCTTTCGAGTGTAGGCTATTCAGTGATGATGTATCAGCTATGAAGGTTTAGTTAGCATTGAATAGGTTAAGAAGATAACTGCATGTAGTAAACTGGAAAGCACTGCAGAGTAACATAGACTGTTAAGCAGCCTCCGTAGTCTAGAGGTAACGTTCCCACCTCATGACTCAAGGTACACGGGTTCAAACCCGGCGGAGGTCGTGGAAGTTTTAAGGGTGGAAAAATTCAGGGAACAAGTCCTCCGGGAGGGACTTTAAGCCGTGGGTCCCATGTCGTAGCTTTACGGCACGTAAAAGAACCTCATGTCTCAAGGGGACCTCTGAGCCAAATTCAGGACATTTCCCGCCCAACAGTAGTCTCTAACGCCTCTGGTAGAGGGGGAAAGCATCGAGATACCGCTGAGCCAGTAGAGGCCGAACTCTCTGGCTGAGTCAGGACTGATGGCACGCACCAGTACCGGTAGGGTATAGAGACTGGTAGAATATCATAGGGGGACGCACAATGGACCAGTACCTGGTCTAAGTGCATGGGGAAACCCACCCCCTCCAATAACAACAACAACAACAACAACAACAACATAGACTGCTTCAGGTTCCTGTCAGAATTTGGTTTGGTTCATCCTGGTACGTCACACTAGCAATGTTATAGAAGGTTAATCAACTCTATCCACTGTGACTGATAAAATGTTTTTTCTTTCTTTCCTTTTTAATCTTTCACCCTTGACATGTTTCGATCTTAGAGACCATCTTCAGAAGTATATATCAATACATGCGGAAACTACTGTTATAATGTGTTTGATCAATATCAATACATACATTCAATATCATCACAATGCCATGAATCTAAAATCTTAGCCTTTAACAACTGCAGTGACTTGCTTGAATACATTAAAATATTTATATATTAATCTGTTTACAAGTGTGGTTTAGAAACTGTCAGGATATCTAATGTACAAGCTGTTTCTCAAACCAGGTACCTCTCAGGCATATATCAGACCCATTTCATTAGCTTACATCTGCTGGCTGTATGAGCAGCCAACTCTGCCAGAGAGATATCCTAAATAAATACATACGTGGCTTTTACCTCATGCAAAAATACTCAAAAGCATAAACTGCTGTAACCTACAATTTAGTAGAGTATAGATTTAGGATGACTGTAAATGATGACATTTTTTGTTCAGCTTCATGTATTAAAATGGCCTAAAATGCAACTATTCCTGAAGTTATTCTCAACAGATATTATGAATCTTAGAGAGATGGGATGGGATGGTATGGATTGACTTGATCTGGCTCAGGACAGGGACCAGTGGAGGGCTCTTGTGAACACTGTAATGAACCTTTGAGTTCCATAAAATGCTGGGAAGTTCTTGAGTAACTGCACAATTGGCAGCTTCTTAAGAAGGTCTCAGCTCCATGAGTGAGTGAGTGGGTGAGTGAGTGTCTGCTTATACCCCAGTTGCAGAAACATCTGTGTCTAATGAACATGTTTACAGCAAAAACTTCTATATAACAAAGATAGTATGTTGTACATTCATATAAACATTACATAAGGAACTCTCCTAAACCATCTGCAAAACCTCAAGGTTTCTTAACCTTATTATATGGAGGTTATATTGCAATTAATGTGTTACTTCTGCATTTCAGAGAGTATCCAAGTCAGAAATGTGACAAGGAGGTCATAATTAAGAATCCATCATACCATATTCAAGATAAAATTTCAAAGACTGTTGAAACAGGAGATGAAGATACTGAACACGAGTCAGCTGAACTGTTACCAGAGGACACAAGAGAAATGACTATACGAGAATTAGAAGAATCATATGAGTCATGTAATCCTGGTAACACTGAAACATGTGCAGTGGAAGTGAAAGTTGAACCTTGGTCTGTTGGTACTGAAGATTCAAATGGCTGTACAGATCCAGTTGATACATCACAGGACCTGAAGGTATATCAGTGTTCTGTCTGTAAAACAGAATACAATGAACGACATAAGTTGCTTTTCCATGAAATTACAGAACACAGTTTTGAAGAAAAAGAGGAAAAAGGAATGCCTGTACTACAGAAGAAATACAAACGAGAACAGATTGCCTGTCATATGTGTGGGCAGGTCTTCAGTGGGAAGAAACCACTGAAACAACATGTAAGAGAACAGCATATCCCATTAGAAAATATCTGCGAGTTTTGTGGTGCATGCTACCAAAACATAAGTCAGTTGGAGGTTCATCAAAGACTTCACACTAATGAAAAACCATTTAAATGTGAAACATGCAGCATTAGCTTTCACTTTAAGAAAGAATTGCAGCGACACAAGAGTAGTAATCACAAGCAGATTAAGTCCCTTACATGTGCCGTTTGCAATAAAACCTGTCCAAATAGAAATGCAATGTGGAGGCATGAAAAGATACATACAGATGACAGGAATGTCTTATGTTATTTGTGTGGAAAGGTGCTGTCAAACCCTCAGAGCATGAGAGTGCACTTGAGAACCCATTCTAATGACAGACCATGCTCATGTCCCACTTGTGGGAAGAGCTTCAAGGACAATACATCTGTTAGTAAACATATGTTGATGCATTCCACATCAAAGAATTTTGCTTGTGATATCTGTGGTAGAGCATTTTATAGCAAAGCCCTGGTAAAACAGCACAAGCTCAGCCATTCCGGTGTTAAGCCTCACAAATGTGAGACATGTGGCACAGCATACAATAGGTTAGGAAATCTGAATCAGCATAGAAAGAAGCATGCTGCAAATCCTCATCCCATGGAGGATCTGTCCCATGAATGTGTCGTGTGTGGTAAGAGAATGCGGTCAGAGTTGACACTCAAGTACCATCTGGCAAAACATACTGGAGAAAAGAAACCATTTGATTGTGAGGCTTGTGGTAAACGTTTTGTTGCTGTAGATCCATACCGAGTACATATGCGAATGCACACTGGAGAGCGTCCTTATCAGTGTACCACATGTGGTAAAACATTCCGTAGCGCCTTTACACTGAAACAGCATGCTGCCCTTCACAGAGATGAGTATCCTTATGCTTGTCCCTTTTGCGAACGCAAGTTTAAAAGACTTCAGTCGCTGATTGTACATAAGCGGACACATACGGGTGAGAAGCCACACCGATGTCCATTGTGTGGACGTGGTTTTGCTCAGAAGGGAGATATGTTAAAACACACTAAAACACACAACAGAGACAGGCCTGCAACCGCCAATAAAGTAAAAGAGGAAAGAATTGTTATGGAAATAGAACAGATACCAGAATTGGCACTCAGTGATTCAGAGATAACTAGTGAGTTCCTCATTGATATGCCAATAGTTGAAGTGGAAACTGAAATTAATTCAGAAATGCAGACAGAAATTAATGCAGAAATGCCATGATTCATAACAATTTCATGACCCTTTGATACCTAATTTGTAAGACAATTCTACATCTGTCCAATGCACTGGCACGAGAGTGTAGATATTCTGGTAGGACTATGCATAAAGTGTATATAATACTGATAGGGTCAGTTTATATATTCATGTATATAATTTCCCTTTATTTTCTTTTGTCAAGTAACAATAATTAAAGGGGATATGAATTTCAATGTACGTGTGTGAAGGCAATGTTTGTAATATTCTGTCATTAAAAAATATTCGTAGATTAGGTTACAGTCATTGTTGAACTCTACCCATCGGATGACACCGGACATAAGAACTATAAAGTCTCCAGGCAGACTGGAGGAAATGGCTCCCCTCCCCTCTCCAAAGGAACTTCCTCTTTACTAAACAGTTTTGTCAGCTTGTCTATGGATGGTCTGTGCTTAGAATCAGAGCCAAATGAGTAGCACACCACTTTCCATATATGTATAATTCCTCACATTTCATTCCAGTTAAATTTATTTTTTTACTTATACAGTAGAGGCAAAATAATTCCACTCATGAGAAAGACAGTTGGTTTTGGAGGTTGAAGTAAGGGCATTTTCTCTTTTGTTGAAAGCACTGAAGACACAGGCCATGAATCTACATGGTATAGTCAAAAACTTCATGAAAGTTTTCAACAGCCGCAAAATACAATACTCTTTTTCATGTCTGAGCATGCACAGATCTGAAGGCAGAGATTTGTTCTGACTTGCAGACTCTGTACAGAGAGTGTGAAAGGTGCTAGAATCTGTTCAGTTTGGCAAATTTTGTTATTTCTAGAACACAAAACACCAGGATTTGCAATTCAAAGAGCAGCTATTGATATATGACTGGGCAGGCTTCTTACAAACTTACCACATGATCAGGGAACATTGTGGGAACAAGGTCTTGGTGTGGCTGTAGTGTATAAGCTGCAACAAACTGCTGTTTCCTCCTATTCTACATGTATTAGGTTAAGGAACCTGTTACATCTTGAAGTGATATTTTCTTCTTTCCCTTGGCTGTCCCAGTCTTCTTCTTCCAAGGGGGTTTGTATTTGGTTACTGTTTTCATAATTCTATTGTCCTACACCCTATATGTGCAAGCCATTCCTTTTTCTCATCTTTCACCATTTAATTTTAATATTTAATGTTCAGTTGAATTCTAATGTCATTCATTATCTTCTTAGATTGAATTCAGCTGCTTTTAATGAACATTTTCTCCCCCTTATTTTTTATTCTTTTTTTACATATGTGTATAATCCCACAGATATGGTTACATCTTGAATATTGTTTTTGATGTTTGTCATAAATCTTGAGAAGCTATTCACTATAAACACCCTCATACTTGTCTGTTCCACCACAACAGTGCACCAGTTCATCAGTCCCTTTGGTATAGGAATCTCTGACAATTCTTCCAGTCTTCTCATTCTACAGATGCAGCCTCTGCTAGTTACTGTCTGTCCAAAAACAAAAGCTCTCGAGATGCAGGTTTCAGAGAGGTAATAACTGAACCACTTTAGGAAGAGGCTTGTAGGAATGCTTCCTTTAGTGATGTGGCCACTACCATGTGACAGTGGGGGGGGGGATATTTTGAACGAAGTATGCAGTAAAGCTTGCTGTGATGACATGCAAGCTCACATGAGCAAAAGTTCACAAACTTTTGACTCTACCATATATATTACACCAGAACCATTCATTCTGTCTAAAAATGTAATAATCTTATAACAGTTTCACAAAGTCAAAAACTTATGTACCATTATAAATCGTTTTTAATTCTTAAAGTGTCAAAAATTACACACCCGAGAATCTGATAAACACATCATCAATAAATCATATGGACACTCTGTCCTCTGTAATGGTGTTAGGTTTTCAAAGAAAAGAATCCTGAAGCCATGGCGTCATATAATAGCATGCACTTTGGTTATTAATATGTTCATATTTACAACATACATGGAGCACAGTCAAGCCATTAAAAATAAATATTGAAGACACTTTGAAACTGATGGGTAAACATGTTTGTAACAAATATTTAAAACGTGGAAAGCTACTGATATTTGCTGCTGAAATATTAACACTGTTTCTTAGTGACATTTTTTATGCACATATGTTCTCAAGAACAGTACCATGGCCACCATTTCAAAAATAGTCATTTCACTGTGCTGATAGGATGATGGTACCTGAAATTCTCATTTAATATAGATGCAGTTAGCAAGGGGTCTCATATGTTGATCCTTTATATGAAGTTTACTTTTCTCAGAATTTTATAAATATATGCTTCTTCCACCACTCATCCCTCCCCCAAACAATATAACCTGAAAGACAAAAACATTCCTTATTATTGCAAGCTGAAAATTCAGGACAAAGTGCATTTTTGAGAGATTTTTATGTAATAAGTTGAACTCTGGTTCCTTCAGCAAATAAATTTTTAAAAGAGCTACTGCATGCCAGTGCTGTACACCACAATCAAAACACATATTGAAACTACATTATATATAACTGTTGTTTTAAAACTAGACACATGATTCGCTTCTGATATTGGTAATTTGTATATTTGGTCATGAAGTACTTTACCATACTGAAGTCATGAATTTTGTTCCTAATTTGAACTGCAAATATAAATGGTTTGTTGGAAGTGTTGCCATTGTTTTCAATATTATGACCATACTCCTTGTTTTGTGAGGGGAGACAAAAGTTCATGGCACCATCATGTTTAAGAATTTGCCTCCCCCCTGTAATGTTCGAACCAGTGACAGATTTTTATTAAACTTAGTATGAAATATGCACAACTGGGGACAACCTGACATTTCTACTTTTCAGTTTCCTACTATCATTAGACCAACCTCATGCCTGAGTGAACTTCTGAATGGAACCACCACTTGATAATAGGGTCCTGAAGTATTTTGTAGTAATAGATGTTGATACAGAATGTACATGTTCCATTAAAGCATGTTTCGGAACATGTTAAACATGGTAACTGTAAAATCTGCATTTAACTTTCCATTTGATGGCCATATTACATTTTTGGAGCTATGTACATGAACTGTGTATGGAGTCGGGTCATTAACATATATAAAAATATGTATGGTGCATTTTGTTGTATGTTAGTAACTGGAAACATGGCAGAGGCATAAAATTTTTGAGGTTATATCTGAGAAAATTCACAGTCAAAATGTTTACTGGTGGAAATTATGCATAGAAATGTATTACTGTATCGTATCCTTATTAATTTATAATTCCTCAGTTCTCACTGAAAGGAAAGTAAGACAGAGTTTTTTTTTCCAGAAATTGTTTGTTGTGGTGTTCCATTCCTTATTCCAGGAACTCGTTTTTAATGCAGTTGTGTGCTAAAAATATAAATCAAGGCACCAAAACATGTATGAGGAATATATTAAATGCCAAATTAATATTGGAGGATATTTTCGAGTTTTTATTTAGTGCCTTACAGCCAGTGATTTGTATGCAAAAGTTTGGAATATTTTTTCCTTCATTAATTATATAAGTAACAAAATAAAACTGCACTGTTAGACTAGAGGTCTGGTGTTGTCTTAATGGATATATGGTAGATGTCCCCAACCCACAAGTTTACAGATTTTTAATTTGTCAGATTCTCCTGTGTATATATAATTTATAATTGCAAATACGACATCAGTTCTTAAAGTCATAATTACACATTTATTTCTCGACATATGGCATAACTACATGTATTTTGGTATATATATGTAAATAGTTCTAGAATACAGTCAGTACAGAAAGTCTAGTTATGTATAGTATCACTATTTTACAGCTTTTCAAATATAAATCCTAATCCTGGGAAGTCCAGTCTATCCTGAAAAACAAATTCACTGCCACTTCTTTTTTCTTTCTTTCTTTTCTTTGTAAGGGTAACAGTGGGTTTTCAGCTTGAAGTAATTCTCTTTAAATTCTCTAAAATATGAAAACTCTGCAGTTTTAATAACAAGCATCCATGATGTGACATTTTATTGAAGAATTGTGAATGATTAAAAAACTTCCAAAATTTGGTAATAGGTATAAGCAGAATGAATCAATGAAATATTCATATTTTTAAATAGTATTTTATTTGTTCACATTATTAGCCATATATCTGATAATACGTGACGGGTCTTTGGCAGCTGTGTCTGGGCACTGCCTCTCTGCTAAGAAGTGAATTATTGGAACTGCAGCTTTACAGAACCACTGTTATACAGTACACACTTTCTGGTCACATATGCGTAAGTGATATCCTTCAGTCAGTCCTTGGCAGGCTTGATTCCAAGTTAACATTTTTACTTTCTCATATACATGGTGCATGTGAGAAAGTGTTGTGATAATGAAAAAACTGATGTTGAGTTTTGATGAATTTACATGTTTCAGCCCCCCCCCCCAAAAAGAAAGACATTACAAAGTAGTGTTTGGAATGCTGTGTTTTTGTGTGCCTCACTAGTGCATGAATGGTCAAATAGGTTTTATTCATATTCAGTATTTAAGATACTAAAACTAAAAATAAGTTTTGGTTTTCATGTAAACCATTCTAAATTTTCATAATATGAAAATCAGTTTACACATTTATAATCAGAAGGAATTTTCATTGAAATAAAATGGCATTAAGAGCATCCAAAGTTTAGACGAGGGCATACATCTGTAAAAAACTGAAGTGTTGTAACTCTTTTAATTTATCCACTCTGTATATAAATAAATCTCTTAAATACAACTTTCCATAAAATGTCTTACTTAAGTTTAAACGGTTCCCCCCCCCCACAATTCTCAGATTTAATCAGTATTTTCTTGTCATCATTTACTGCCCAAGTTTACAAATTAACATTGTCCTCTGAAGATATCTTAATAGGTTATGAAGCTCTTTTTTTAAGATTAAGTTAAAATTAATTTTTGTTTGTCATATATTCATGACATACTTTCTCCATGACGTATTCCTTTGTTATTATCATGATAATAAGTACAGACCAGTTCAGTAAAATTTTTTTTAAGTTTTCTAATATGAAACTTCCACTTAAGGATAAAACAGTGAATCAGTACATCCTTGGTCAAAATATCTTCACTTCTGCACTTAAGGTAACACAACTGATCACTGGATATGCATTACAATGGCAGTGCCATTAACCCTTAAAGGCATAGTGGCCTCTGTATGTACTGCCTTTAACATTGAAAGAACTCTGTATTTTGCTCACAGAGTATGTTTGTGTTTTATATATGATTCTAAGGATGAACAGTGGTTGTTTCCATATACAGCATTAACCTGTGAGGCTTTTATATTTTGTATGAGGTTTCATCCTGCTATTCTCTTTCATGTTTCTTGTGAAGCAGGAACCAACTTTTCAAATATTTGGAAAAAATTTGTGCTTCAGAGGGTTAATACATATACAACTCAGTTGAGTTTGTCAGCATGAAGGTCATCAAGTTATATTGTTTCAGTAAACTCTTATCTGTGTATGACTTATTTTCAAGTATGTTTGGCAACAAAATATGTTCCACTGTGATGCATTTGTTACCTTGAATAGTACTGCAAACTGAACAAGACTATAGTAGATATGACTTAAAACTACACTGGGAAATTCTGCCTTCATCTTCACTGGCTATATATTATGCACTTAAGTTTTAGCCTCTGCAAGAGGATTGTTATGAACTTCAATGATGTGGTCAGCATCATTATTTTTTATGCATAAAATTTCTTTATTAATGTGATATGTAGAATGAATTATAAATAGTCTTTGTCCAATCACTTCCTTAGGGAGGTATGGCTTGTAAGTTGTATTGGAATAACAATGATGCTGTTGCCTAAATGTGCTAGAGTTAAATCACCACTAATGATAATAAAGGTAACTTCACTCTTTCATCTGTTCATTCTGAACTGTATTAATATTTTTTTAATAAGAATTGGTTTTCTGTTTATTAAATATTACAAATATGAGACCTGTATTAAGTTCAAATGTTCTGTTGATTTCAGTGAGTTAGTCTCCTAGTTAAAAAGTAAAAAGGTAAAGCTGTCCCTGTAACAGCCTGTGAAGGCCCACAGGGGTGTGAGAGGTCAAGGCTCCCACATCTTCTAGACAGTTGGCTCATAGCTGGAGGTAAGGTTGTCAGCCTTATGTGCCGGCTGCCCTTTAACCGCTCCCAAGAAAATTCCTGGTACTCAATTCTGTTAGAGGCTGAGTCGACCCCATGGCCATAGTGCAGCTGGAAGGATTAGGTCAAATGAAAAATCCTATGACCTCATCGGAATTTGATCCATGACCTTCCAGCTTGTAGCATAGTGCCTCAAACCAACTACCAACCACATGCCCTTATTCTCCAAGTTATGGAAGTAAAATACAGATGAAGAATTTTATTTCTTGTAAAAAGGTTTCTGTGGTAACAATTGGCCTTGCTTTCTAAAGAATTATACCTACAGAGTTGTGCTATATGATTAGTCCACATAGTGCTGGTTATCTATGCGATTGTTTCCCAAAGTGGGAGCTCTAGCACTCCATGGGGGCTGCACTTTTGTGTGTAGAGGGGTGACTCTGAAGAAATGTTCTGGTAACAAAGGTCCTAAATTAATTTTAATCATAAAAGGCCATATAAAATTGTAAACAAAGTGTTTCATAGAAGTACTTCATTGACAGCCTTAAGGTTTATTTGTAATTACAGTAAAACTTGGTTATAGCAACATCGGTTTCTGCGACACCTTGTCTATTGCGTCAATATTCAATGGTACGAGCTAATTCCTCATAAAGCAACTGTTTTTATACCTTGCTTAGTACGACATGCACAAATGCATCAACCTCGTATGTAACGTCATTTTCATTCCTGAATTTCTCTGATATGGACATTGAACGTAATTTAGAAAGTGTGTATTGGGCAAGTAACAGGAAACAGATGAAGATAACTGATTACTGTACTCGTATCTAGGTACAGTAAGGCACAACAATTGATGTAATCTACTGTAATTTGGTGAGTAGGCCTACCTTTAATCTACAGTATTGTCAGCGAAAAGCGCTGTAATATGTCTTTGATATTACACATTTTGGCAATTCCACGTTAATGTTACGTTAGTCTGTACTTAACTACGTATTTCACTAAAAAATGCAACATTTTAACTCGGTTTTTGGTAGATTTTTACGTGACTAACATAAGGCTACTGTGGAAGTGCCCATTTCGGTTACAACGACATTCGTTTATAACGACACTATTTTTAGGTCCCTTTGATGACGTTATAACCAAGTTCTACTGTATATTTTTAAATTGCTAGATTACATTTGAAGTCGTTTGTGTAAGTTGTGTACCCTTAAACTTTCTGTTTACATCAAAGGATCCTCAGACTAAAAGAGTTTGGAACTTCAGGTCAATGCAACATTCAAACATCACTGACCTGCGTGTTCACTGTCAGATCTTTAAAGGATCCTTTAATTCAGTATTATGAAACAATGGTATTTTCTTACATAATAATCTTAGTTCTGAGTACATGATAACATCATGAATAAGTGAGTAGAATTTCTGCTTTCTATGTGTGAGATAAGTTAAAACCTTGGCTCAGAGACCAGTTATTCTGAGGCTTATTGGTTTTTTTAGCCCTGGTGGGCAGCTGCCACGATGGTATCTCAAATTAGGTCATCATTGCTTCCTTCAACATTCTTTCTAATACATTATTCATTAAATAAACCATAAATAATTATTCATTGCTTACATGACATGTTATGTTAACATCATGCTATGGTACATAATTGTGTGTGTTGTCACTATGATGATCACAGACATGCTCCATGAACTCACTTCGAGATTTATAAAGCACTTTCCCACATAGTTCACACCCAACAGGATGATCTGAATGGTATGTTGTCTGATGTAAGATGAGATTACTTTTTACCAGGAACATCTCACCACAGTACCGGCATGGGTATATCCTTTCGTTGGTTTCTCGAAATGCATGGTCCAAACATAAACTTTCAACATCACAATTTAAATATGATTCATCACTCATTAAAGTATCATTGTCATTTTTCCTGTCACCTCCCTCTCTTGATGTATCACTATGATTATCTCTGTGATCAACAGAATCTGTACTTCCAAGAGCTAAATATTCACAGGTACTTGTTACAGTTTGTATTTTGTCTTGTTTTAAATCTACAATTTCATTTAAGTTACTACATACAATGATGTTTCCAGTCCTTGTATGCCCTGTTGGTTCCTGACATTTAGCAGTATGTCTACTTGTATTTGGCATGGCTAACATTCTGGTTCCTTGCAGTAAGAACTGTGAAGTGATCTGACACTTAGGTACTGCATTTGTATCATTCATCTTCATCTTCAAAGTACTTTTTCTTATTTCAGTCAATCTTGATTCCTCACTTTTTATGCACTGTGAACTGTTTGCTAAAGAACTTACTGCTGACTCTGACACATTCTGTACTTCTTCAGAATTACAAACACCTGGGTGACTCTTCAATCCTGCCTCTGCACTGAGTTCAGCAGTTCTATGAGAAACAAAGATAATGGTTGATATGAAAAACAGCATGGATAATGGTGGAAGAGCAGTTTTATGTTTCATTATTGAAGTTCCCATTCCCTGTCTTGGATTTTGTTATTGTAATTATAGTGTCTGTTTAGACGTTTCTTTCGACCAAAACACTCCTAATCCATCCACATCATTCTCATTTTACCACTTTAAAGCACAGTGGTTACTATATGTACCACCTTCTTTAACAAAGAAATCTATATTTTTTAAATGAATTTTTAAATTTCAGTTGATTCTCAGAATAAACAGTGATTATTTCCTAAACAGCATTGACAGATTGGTCTTTGTAAGGGAGAGGTTCTTTGTGAGAGAAAGTGTCTATGCAGAGAACTTCTGCAGTTCTGTTCAGACTTTGTTTCTCTCATATATCACATAGAAGGGGTACAGATGTAACCCTTGGCAATTTAAGTATGCAGACCTATACTCATGCCATTCAGAATTCAGTGATAATGCCCGTATTTACTACGCAGGATGAGCCATTCTTAAATCTACTGCTCTAGAGCTATTCCACTGCGTTAAGGCCTGTTCTACACCAAGATTTGACCAATGTGATATACATGCTGACCTATGTTAAGGAGTACAGTAAAAAAAGTAAAGGTATCCCTGTAACAGGCCTTGGAGGCCCATAGGGTTGTGAGATGTTGAGGTTCCCACATTTTCTAGCCAATTGGCTCAGATGGCAGCAAGGTTGTCAGCCCTATGTGCTGGCCGCCCTTTACCCCCAAGAATATTCCTGGTACTCATTTCTGTTAGAGGCTGAGTCAACCCCAGGGTCACAGTTCGGCCAGAAGAATTAGGTCAATTGAAAAAATCCAATGACCTCATTGGGACTTGAACCTGTGACCTTCCGGCTTGTAGCATAGTGCCTCTACCAACTATGTTACCGTGTGCCCCCATGCTAAGGAGTATTTAATCTTTTATTTATTTTCAGTATATTGTTGCTTTTAAGAATAAGCTGATTATTATATTAATAGCATATTGAGAATGCATTGAAATAAATTCTTACAATGGTTTGGGTCTGAGTGGTCGTCTTCTTGTAGGATGATGAACCTTTGAAAGTATTATATATTTAGTTTCTGGAATATCTGAAAAACAATGCCATGTAATTATTACTAAGAGACTGATGAATAGTTTTATTTTGATCGTTTCCTAATAGTCTAAATTATATTAGCTCAATGAATTTATATAATTATTGTTTTAATGTACACAACATTACTGGTTTATATTTCAGTCATGTGTTTAAAATGACTATATTTAGTACTGGTGAAAATATATCCATATATACACATTTCAGAATTACTGAAATTAATCCAGTCGTGCATGATAACATAATGGACACTTAATTCAAGCAGTAAGAGTTGAGAAAATTACATGCATCTTATGGAACTGAGTAAAAATCCTGCATATTTATTTCATAAACTTTTGTACTAGAAGTATCATAGCTGACATGTAGTACAAAAGACACAAATCTGAACTTCCTCTGGTCATATTATTGGACGGGCATGTTTTTTCAGCATTACAAACCGTCTTGTAAAGATCCACAGATCATATTAGTTGCTATAACCACATAAGAAAATTGTGGAATTGTGTACCTCTTTATGGTCCATCCTGAACCAAATTTGCAAAAGGGAAATTTTTGTCAGTCAATCTTTACTACAAATTTCTGCCATGCTGCTAGTCACCTTACACTTGCACTAGGACTTACTTGTCTTCTGTTGTTGATGTGAATTAATTTTAGATTCTTTTCTGTGTGCATAATCAGGTTTTGGAAAAAGTGTTGGCAAGGCATTCCATACCAGTTTCTTCTTACAGCTGTTCATGAACATGTCATCATTAAAATGTTCCATACATAAATATTTTGTATGTAGAATCTCCATACTTAAGATTTTCAGATCTTCTCGCTCTGCATTAGTGAGCCATAAGAGTGCCCTGTAAAAGTGTTGAGCACAAAATTAATTCCTCCTGTTTATGATCTAGGATTATGAAATGTGATACCATATACTGAATTATACTTTGAAGAACTTACTTTGTATTCTGAATCAAAAAAGGTTTCATCCTCAGATGGAGAAATGCATGCACTTGGAGTCACAAATTGCATCATATTTTGACAATAAAAGAAGTACCTAGTATCCCTGGCATATTAATGGGAATTTAAATGGCTGAAATTACTGCTTTAAAAACTCAGAAATTATGAACTATAGTGCATCAGAGGCAAAGATAATTTCAGTACACTGAAACAAACTGCTGACTATAATACAAGGTTGGGGTGCTTGTCCTATATTCATAAATGAAATAATGCCAAAAATCAAACATGAGTGATTTTTAAGGAAAAAATATATGGAATCTGTGCTGTATTTCAAAACTCAAATATTGATAGATTACCTTATCAGTACGGGTGTCTTTTAAAACGGTCACTGTCAGACTTTCATTAGTGTTACCACCAGAGACCAGCTGCTTTATCCATCTTCCTTCTAAATATGAAGTCCCTAATTCCTAGAGCCTGATATGCCCTTCTGAACATGTTTATAAAAAAAAACACCAGTACTTCTAGAAATCAAACCGTGGCCTGTAAATCTACTAAATTACTTCAGTTTATTTAACTACATCTATGACTGTCCAATATATAACACAATATGTTGTCACTTTGAATTTACGAAGTAGTCAAGTATGGATTTGGACCAATGGAACTAAAATGCTTACCTACTAAAAAAAATAAGATAAACCTCATTTGCTATCAAAATTACTTCTGTATTTGGGGCCTTATGTTAAGAAATGAAGTTTTCCCTTCTGAGTACCTTTAATGTTTCTGGAGTTACTTCAGGGATGGAATGAATGGCTGCTTACGTAACTTCAATTCAAACTTTATATAAAGATTCCAATATAACATGTACTGTTAATCACTCAAGTTTAGGGCTGTTTCTAAAATGGTTTTACTGGCATCACTTAAATTGTTTTCCTCTCATTAAATAAAGGCTCCCATATTTTTATCATAACAGGCACAATGTGCAACATACCTTGATAAACACTCATCAAACTGAAAAATATCTCAGAAAATGTCAATGTTTTTAAACTGGATATATCTACATATATTGCTTGCTTATAATAACCGTGAGAACTAATGCTAATGGTGCGTGTAAGCATGCTTATACCTATTGTAGAATATTAAAGAACTGGCACTGACCTGTCTGGATCTTTTGGTATTCTGAATAAGGAAATACCAGGGGTTTTCTTTGCATTGTTACCACACCACCGAGCAATGCAGTATGTTCCTCCAGTTTTTGACTCACGGTAATTACGCCTTGTAACTGATGAAGCATTAACAGTTTTCTTAATGAAATTTCTTTTATTGCTGTTATTCAAACATGTATTTGTAACTAATGAGGTGGAGAGTTTTGATCTTTTGTGGATGTAAATTTCTGTACTTGAACACTCAACACTCTGACAATCAGGTGCAGTTTTCAAAACTTTATCAGGTACAATCAATTCATCTCCAATGATGGATGGAGTCTGCTTCCATTTTTGATGTGTAGATTCAGTACTGGTGCTGCCACAGGAAATATCTGCTATCTTAAGTTTTGTGTCTCTCTCAAAATGAATTGTCGATTTCATATTCATACTTATTCTTATGATCAGAAACTAATACAGTGGAACCCCAATTTAATTTTTCTTGGCTCACAGTTTCTCCAACACTTTATGTTCAGTTTCAGTGGTATAGAGTCAATAATTAAGTGTTAAATTTTCTCCATTTAAGATTTTCCTCAGTTTTGTGTGTAGGCGTACTGTTCCCCACACAAACCTGGAATAGAAGATTCAGTGAATTTTACACGTTTTCATATTCAGAAATTAAATTTATTGGAATAACCTTTGCAATACTAGTGATAAATTTTAAAATGTTCTGTAAAGTTCTTACCTGAAAATAATCAATGCTGGGTATCAGATGGATGATATTTTCTTTCAGTAGAATTTTCGATGAAACTGTGCCAACGATTTGTCTCAGAGGTACAAGGGACTGCATATACACTGCCGTAGGTTATTCTTATCTACCTGGAATACAAGTGTTACATTAAAATTGTACTAGCTACCATAACACAGCTTCACTGGATATTATCATAACATATTAAACATGCGAAACATTTTTGATATTTAAAAACCAAGTTGATATCTTACATTCAAGTCAATTAATTTTTATTAAATTTTCCCAAAAAGAATTGGGGGGAAGGTGGTCTATAGTGATGAAACATACTTGAACTATTAAAATATTAAATTCCCTCTCTTCTCCTCCCCTCATGTATTTTATGCATATTTTATAGTCTCTTTCATTCTATCTTTCCCTGCTTCACCCACATGGTTTCCCTCTCCTTGTTTCTTGCCCCAATTTTCAACATCCAATTTAATTTTCCATCTTGGTCTTGCCCTAAACAGCTCTATACAGGACCACTATTTCCCTTGTCTCATACTCTAGTTCCTACTGTAGTTTATTTTTTGCATATTTTTACATTCCCTTCATTCACTATTGTCCACATCTTTCCTGTGTCTGGTCTTGAGTTCCTGTTCCTCACACTGCTTCATTTTGAGCCCCTTGCAGGCCCCCGTCTGCCTTACTTTTGTATTTCCTACTTTTAATTCTTGCGTCCCCCCCTTGTTTTTGTATCCCTTCATTTCTCATATACTTTATTACATTGGACATCTGTCCTCTTTCATTTTTATTTTATCTAGCACACATGCTGTACCTTATGAATTTATTGTATTTTTTAATTACTTGTATTCATACTGCTTCTCTTACCCGCCTTCTTAAATTTCCCCCTATATCTGCCCCAGGCATCTTATATTGGGTTCCCTATAGCCCTAGTCCAGATCCTTCTTACCAGCATCAGAGCCACTTTTCTTCTGTGGTTGAACCTACTCTTCTACTCTGAAGATGAAGGCAGCAAGTTCCTCCAAAACACTGGTACACACCTACCAAGATACATATCACCACACCCCAGAAGAGAGTAGCTTTATTTAAAATTAAATATTTAATAACTAATTCTTTTGAGTAATTTTGTGTGTTTTGAACTCCAGAAGTTACATAGCACCAAGACAAACATAAAATAACCACTACACAACATTCATAATACATAATTTGCACATATAGAGAGCAGCGCCAAGTAGAACCACCATTCTGTTTCATCACAGTGCCCTTTCAACATAATTATAGATTTTATGTATGGAAGGAAGAACAAATAAATTTTTCTATCTACTTGAACAAAAACCCTGCTAATCTACCAAACTCCCCAGTCTGTTTCTGAATTTGAGTTTCTCTTGTGGTTATACACAGGCCTTTCTCTGGTGGTATAGTACAGTAAAGGCACCAGAAATAAAACAGGTTGAAATAAGATAAACATTTTATTTTAGGTTCCAAATTTTGGTTAGTTATAGATACATGGATAATATTCTTGTTGAAAACTTTGGAAGTGTCACTCTCCTGACCCACATGAGTACCACCATTTTTCCTGCTATATAAAAGAATTGTTGGTTGTTGAACATGGTACAAACTCTTCTTTGATACACTTGGCCACTTTAGCTCCAGCATTTCTTTTTACTTTGTGAATATCCTGGTAACAGCTCAATTTTACAAAATCCTTAAATGACAATATACTTTGCTAAACAGTACTTGCCTTGAAAGGTGTGTAATTCATTATCTTCTCACACAACTGTTCAGTCTTGCCTATGTGCCAAATATAGGTATGAAATATGTTTCACTTCCTACTCCTGCACATAAGCAGCAGACCATCTTTGATTTCATATGTCTACTTTTATTCTGGGTTAAGCACAACAGACCACTGTAGGTCACGGTGCAAGGGCCGAGAAGGCCCACCCCTTATACATTCATTTATTCTGGGTTGATGCGGTGCCTTTGTCTTCATTTTATTAACAGTTCCTACAGTAGCTGCTTTAAATGCCTGACTGTCAGCACTTCATGTAAGACAAAAGTATCCCATATTTTCTTTTATAATTATTGAGGTTCATTTAATAATTCTTTGGCTAAAGAAAGCTCTTATATACTCATTCATGTTGTATATACAAAGAGCATATTAGTAATAATTCAAATCTCAGTCATTATTGTCACTGTTATTCTTCCAGTAGACAGCACGTAAATATCCAGTTGCCCCATTCAGTGAGTAGAATGCACATGGTCACGATATTTTATATTCTTCCTTACTGGTTCAGTTGGTCTGTGCTATAGTCAATTTGCATTCTTACCTAATCCCATAGAAGAGGATCGTCCAATACCACTTTCATAGGTGGTTCATTTTAGCAACAAGTCTGATTCTCATTAAGCCATGTCAAAAACTGAAGCAAGCTATCAGCCTGCTATGGACTACCTTGGATCAGGCTTACTAGAGATTTTTTGGACTTCAATATATAGCTACGTATTTTCTTCTACTGAAACATTTCAAACTTAACATTGCACACTGAGGAAGCAACTCTCTGTGGTTCCTAATTTATTTTGTTCGCATCGTAGCAGATTATTTAATTCTAGACTCTTTAAATGAACGGAATTATCGTGTTAGTTGCAGTTCATTTTAACGTGGTGATGCCAAATTGACACTCATTGCTGTTCCCATTTAACGTTCACAACACAATTACGACGGCTGGGTGTTCGGATACGGCAATATTAGTTGCGCAAAAAAAAAAAAGGCATGCAATCACAAAGCGTAGCCACTATTTCGACTGTTTTCATTGCCTTCGACCCTTTATTGTAAAGGGGAACAAACGGCTGAAACAGTGTATTTAAATCAAGTCTTACCGTGCATGTACAAACATTTAGTACAACACCGCACTACGAACTAAACCTCAAAAAACCACTCAATTTTGGGGTTATGACAAGCTATTACGGAGCGAAATATAGGTCATGAATCTGTACGTTAGACTATGTGTGAGGTGCGTGACGTGCGTGAGGAGCCAGAAGGGTGTGACGTGGAGCTGAAGATAGCTGACCGATGAAATGCTTGTTCGGTGAATCGATATTTTACAGAATACATACAAATATGGCAATATCGTTCACTTGAAGTTGTTCTACGAGCTAGGTATGGAGCACATGGAACTATCTGGACCAGCCTCCATTGCATTCGAACTTGCTATTGGTTACCGTCATTACTTGCTTTAACCTAACTCTCCACGCTCTCCGCCCTCACCACTCTGGCGCTGACGCGCTTTGGCGAAAATCATCTGTGACCAGAATCATTTGACTCACCTGATTCGTATTATCGAGTTGTCGGACAAAATTCCAAGGATAGCGATGTCTGGGATACATTCCCGTCAGTTTTTCAGCAGGAAAAGTGATTTGTGGCAAATTACAGCATTAAAACGGTGAGGATTGTTTTAAATTTTAACAGAGAATACAATTGGAATCACAGAGAGCAACAGAGGGGAAGAGGAGTTAATTGCATTGTTGCGTCAAATGCTGAACTTCGATTATAATCAATCCTAACCGACATACCACAGTTGCATATTGCTTGAAGCATCCTTGGCATCCTTCGCTCAACTAATGAAACCATAGGGAAGATATTGCAGGGGTAAGATATCCTTTCTGGCGCGGTGTGCTGTAGTACTTTGAAGACTCTGGAGAGGTGAAGATTGTGCAGACCGGTGCAGACCGAGGAGAACAATGTGTAGTACACAGGTAATACACCTGGTCAAGTCATTAAAATGTGACAGTTGGTGTCATACTAAGTGCGTGACAGTATGAATATTCTTAGTTGAAGACATTTGGTTAGACACAAATTGTTGGAGTCTTCTAACAAATGTCTTGGGTATATATTTGCTTTCATGACATTTACAGTTGATAACTGAAAATTATTGGTCAAATTCATACCGGTTGCGAATCAAGGAGATGCAAGAAGGTTTCTATTTCAGAGTAATGCTTGATGCATATTACGCAGAAAATTGTAAACTTAGTAATCCGTGAGTGTAAAATAAGCGCCTTGTAAGAATTAAAAGGCTCTCTCCTGAGAGGAGGCAGTTTAAATTGGAATTAAAATAGATGTGTAGCGGAAAATCCCATATAATTAGTAGCAGCTGTGGAGTTGTGAAACTTACGGCTGAGTAAGTTTGAGGAATCTTATTTCATCATCATCAGTAATCTGTCAAGACGACAGGTCCACAGTCTCTTTCAAAACAATTCCTCCAATTAATGCGATCTAGAGCTTTCTCCTTCAAATGACAGTATCCTCTTCTGTCCCCAAGGTCATCCAGCATCTTCTTACGTCTTCTTCCTCGTCTTCTTGTCACTTCTATCCGCCCATCTATCTTTCCTTCGATAGCTTCTTTTAGAAGGCAGTTTCTGCGTAAAACATGACCAATCCAATTAGCCTTCCGTTTTCTTATTTCATGTAGGATATACCTCTGCTCACTGACTCTAATTAACACTTCTTCATTTCTCACATAATCGGTCCAACTGATCTTCTCCATTCTTCTCCAACACCACATTTCGAAACTTTCCAGATGTTTCTGATCTACTGCCCTAAGTGTCCATGTTTCAGCCCCATACAGAGCTATGCTCCAAATGTAGCATTTCACTA